ATACTCATTACAGACATTCTTGAAAAAACACAACGGTTATTTGTGATTATAAGGTTATTTATGGTGTTGCCAATGTGGAACATTAAAGCGGTTGTTAGAGATCTAAACCTAATAGGCTAATACTAGCGTATGGTAAGGTGATTATAGTTTCTGACAATGTTAGTTTGTAACTTTGTAATATTTTTAGAGTTTTAGATGGTTTGTTTGAGTTGGCTTTTAATAATAAGTTTGTGCTTTAAAAAAGGTAGGTGCTTTTGGTTGACAGGAAATGAATGAAATTCGAGGGAAAATGATTCCAATTCCCTCGAATTCATGCGTTTGGTTGGACTTAGAGGAGGGAAAATGATTCCTAAATGAAATAAATTTTCCACCATATGGAGGAAAGTGAATTCCTTCCAAAGTTGGAGGGAAAACATTTATTCTCATCAAGGAAAGTGACAGATTACAAAAATACCCTTTGCACTTATCAGAAACCCACCACCATTACCACCACTATCACTAACCACCACCACCACCGCCGCTACCGCCGCCACCACTACCACCACCGCCACCATCACCACCACCGCTGTCGCCGCACCGACCACCAACACCACCGCTGCCGCCACAACCACTACCATCGCCGTCGTTGCCGCCGCCGCCATTGCCACCGACCACCACTACCACCGCCATGACCACCGCCCACCACCACCGCCCCGCCACCGCCACCCACCGGCACTGCCTGCGACGCCACCACCACTACAATCATCGTCATTACCACCGTTGCCACCGCCACCAACCACCACCACCGCCGCCACCATTGCCGCCACCACCATCACGACCATTACCCACCACCACTACCAATTCCATCACCCATCACCACCATCGCCGCCACCACCACCACCACCACCAACATTGCCACCATCGCCGCTACCGCCACCATCACCAGCCGTCGCTGCTACCACCAGCACCATCACCGTCATCGCTGTCGCCACCAACTGACACTGCCACCATCACCACCACTTCCACCACCACCACCATCACCACCACCGTCGCAGCCACCATCACCGCCACCCACCACTATCGTCGCCACCACCGCCACTGACCCCACCACCACTGCCACCACCGTCGAAATTTTAATTTTTTTTTATAATTTTCATAATGTATTTTTAAATATAAGTTGGAAAACAAGGTAAAATTAAGCAAAACATGCAAAAAGGGTAATTATGTCATTTTACATGAATTCCAATTCCATTTCCCTACAAACCAAACAAATTTTGGAATTAATTCCAATTCCATTTCCTGCCAACCAAACAACATATGGAATTGGATTCAAATTCTTGACAGATTCCTTTTCCAATTCCAATTCAAATTCCTCGGGCAACATTCTGCGAACCAAACATCACCCAAATCTCTTCACAATCAAGATGCAACATCGGGGATGCTTTTCCAACGCTTTAGGAATACTTTATAGATGTGGATATGTTCGGCAGTTGGCTTTGTAGATTACGTTGATATTGATGCCTTTTTAGTAAATGGTTTAAGTCTCATCGTAAAATAGTTAGGTTGGTAATGTCTTTCTTTACTTTCCTTTGATAATACCATAAAAAGATTTGGATTGTGGCTTGATGGCATTATATAGTGACGATGGTGTTATGCACTTGTGATGGCATTACTTTATGATATCATGTAAGTCTAACATGGTCGAAGAAGCAGAAGATTATGTCAATGCTTCACCTCAATTAAGATTAAAAAATTATCATTAGCATTGTTGTTTGGAAGTTCATGCTGCTTAAAGAGGTTAATAGATTGTAATGACTTTGACAGTAATACAAAGTATAAAGAAAAGGACCAATGGTTAGACCTTAATGTGGTTGTATGTCCTAAAGTTTTACCATTTAGTGTTCTACACCCAACATTTTGAGAAAATTTAATATGTCATAAATAAACATTAAAGTATTATATACGTCTAATATATATATATATATATATATATATATATATATATATATATATATATACTTTACCCAAGTGTGAACTTCAGACGACTCTCAAGCGGTTCCATTCCTTCTTACTGTACTTATGGGTCAACCCAACCCGAATGGGAAGAAGGGGGTCAGCCAAACAGCGGTCCAATATGAAACGCCCAAATCTTTTTCTTTTAATATTTTAAACATTTTTACAAACATTTATTGGAATTTAAAATCATTATAGTTATAAAACTTATGGAATACACATAATAACCTTATTCTATTTTCTAGGAATACATGATATCTGAATTTTAAAAAACTAATTGAAAACACAAAATAAAACGAGGGAATGGTGCACGAGGGAACAACTTGAAAGGAACAACCGGTAGTAGCGATTTCATCTGTCATATGTCAAAATTGGCGACTATGGCAGCAACGTTAACTACGATAGTGAAATTACTACTACCAGTTGTTCCCTCCTATGTCGTTTGGGTTTTCGATTAGTGTTTCAGTATTCAAATATCATGTATTCCTATAAAATAGAGGATATGTATCATGGATATTCCAATTTTTAATAAGTAAAATGATTTTGAATCACAATAAATGATTATAAAAATATTTAAAATAATTTAAAAAATAATTTGGACAAATATGATATTTTGGAAACTTATTTATAATATATATAATATTTAGAAATTAGTTAGAGCAAATGTGATATTTTGTTATTTATTTATGGTATATATGAAATTTTCACATTTTTTTAATAATTGTGGAAAGGAAGTTACAAGATGATGAAGATAATGATGACAAAGATTACCTTATGGATGAGTATAATATGGCGGTTAGTGTTGAAGTTGAAATTAAAAACTTTAGTCTCGTTGTAAATCTTGAAGTTGAAAGGTTTGGTTTTACTCAAACCATTCAAGAAGTTGTTAAAGAAGGTTAAGAATTGATTAACCAATATCTTAAGGCAATAGACCAAGATTAATTTAATAGTGGATCTTATATTGGTGATGGATGTTAGATCAAATGAAATAAGATTTTAAAGGCTATAAGAAAAAGGACACAAACATAATTCCAGTCAAAGGATAGTTGTCCTATTTATTTGGGTAAAACTTTAACTTCAACAAAACTTGTGAGTCAGATTATAAGGATACACGATGTAGATTCGATAAAGAATTTGAAATTTTCAAAGAATGATCAAGTTAGAGTTAGAGAAATTTAGTGCTAGTAATGTACCTAGGGTTGAGGAAAGGAAGTACATAGTTTCCAAATGTAAAGTGGATTAATAATGGACATGTAAGATAGTAGTAAATAACCATAACTTACATTGGTCAATAAATATTAAAGGATGTAATGCATCTTTTTTATCTCAACAAACAATTTCCTATGTGGAAGAAACACTTTATCTCAACAAATTATTTCCAAGGTAGAAGGAAACACCAAAATTCATGTTAGGGCGAAAAAAACTAATATATATATATATATATATATATATATATATATATATATATATATATATATATATATATGTGTGTGTGTGAGTTTTAATAGAGAACCATTATTAGCAAGGAACCAAAGAACCAATTGTTAGCATCGAAATTTTATTAATAGGGTCAATAATTGACAAGGACAATGAACTTTATCTTGTGTATACATTTAGTCACTTATGTTTTTTAAACATCTTAACATCGAACTTGTTTATGACGTTCAAAATATACCATTATGATCGGGTATTATAGGTTTAGCCGATTTCTGATGACTTTGCCATCTTTAACGAATCTCCGGTCATCTTCTCCGACCAAACATGAGTTTTTCGAAGAAAAAAAATTGGATATGTTTTTGTTTGCATCAGGTCTAATTCAAACACATGAATATACATTTTTATTGCAAATTCAAACACATGAACAAATCATAAAAACAAAATTGATTTTGCATATGTTATTGTTTACATCAGGCCCTAAAATCTGGATCATTTCTTGTTTGCATATGTTTTTATGATCTTCCTTAACAAATCCGAAAAAGGAAATCATTTTAGTAGTGTTTGTGCTTGTTCGTGTTGCGTGTTTCCATATATAAACTCACATCTTTGAACAAATCTTTGAACATAGCACCTAGATCTTATGTGTATATGTGTGTTTCAAAAAATGAACCCATATCTTCGAATATGAACCGATAAGTCGATTTGCATCTCTTCAAGTTCGTTCCCCAGCTTTGAAGATATATTTCTTAATTTCGTGTTTATCAAGTTTAGAGCATGGACCTAAAAAAATTGATTTTGATTTCGTTTTTAGGCACACACACGTTTTCGATTTCATATTCATCGAGTTTAAGGTTTAGATTTTGTTTCTCTATCTCTCTTGATTTTGTTTCTTCCTCTTGATTTAGGGTTTAGATTTTCGAGACACACACGCATCAAATCTTTTTATGTTCATGAGGTCATTAAACACACACAAATGAACGTTCGATTATTGCATTTTTTTTTGTTCAAAACACAAATGTGAAAATCAATAACACATATATGATATGACAAACACTCGTCGGAAATCTCATGTTGGCTGGAAACATATGAAAAAGATGACAGGCAGACCGGTTAAACTTATAATAACTAGTCATACATCATAATAATGTTATCTAAATAAAGTAACAAGTTTAATGATATAGATGATTAAATATAAACGGGAGTAAATTTCATTATCCCTTATTAATACGCCACTTAACTAACTTATTTATTAAACATAGCTTTCTATAATTGTGACTTCGGGACAAAAACGTATGAGACAGAAAAAGGAAAAAATATGGGACATTGTCTTCACCTGGAAACGACGCCGTTGCTCGTTAAGAATTCAACACACACATTGCATATTTTCAAAAAGGCTTTCGAGAATCTCTGTACGAGTGTGTACTTGCCCTTGCCCCCCTGCTCAACGTTTTCATGTCCTCAACTCCAATCCCCTTTCAATGAAGCTGCAATTATCCACCTAATCACATAAAATCGCTTAATTTCAAAGAAAAAGCAACATACACACAGTCACACACTGTGTCGAAACCTCCATGGGTATGGAGATCAAAGTTTGGTGTCTCTCATGCATAATCTTTGGCATCTTCTTCGTCTTCCATGGTGATTCCGCCATTGTTGAACAGAACCCAGATAGAGAAAGCTTGGTTTCCTTCAAGAACTCACTTCTAAACAAGCATATTCTCTCCACATGGAACCCCAACACCCCACATTGTCAATGGGAAGGTGTTTCATGCCAACACAATCGAGTCACAATGCTCGTTCTCTCACAACAATCGTTCCATGGCCCTCTCCCGGACTCCCTCTTCTCTCTTTCCAACCTCATTGTCCTCGACCTCTCTTCTAATCAGTTTTCCGGCGAGCTTTCACCTAAAATATCCAGTCTCCGGAAACTACGTGTGTTGGATTTGGGGAAAAACCAGTTTTCCGGCAAGGTACCGATGGAACTAGGGGAGCTAACTCAGTTGCGAACGCTTGAGCTTGGACCCAACTTTTTTTCCGGCGAAATACCTAAGGAGATTGGGAAGTTGTTAAACCTTGAGTCTCTCGACCTCTCTTCCAATTCACTCACCGGAACAGTGCCGCCGGAGCTTGGAAACCTCCATAGACTCCGATCACTTGGGCTTGGTAACAATTTTCTTTCAGGTTTTCTCTCTCCCACTCTCCTCACTAACCTGAAAAACCTAATTTTTTTGGATGTTGCTAATAACACCCTCTCCGGCCATATTCCCCCTGAAATCGGAATTCTCTCTAACCTCACCGATCTTTTCATCGGAATCAACAGTTTCTCCGGTGTGCTTCCGCCGGAAATTGGAAATCTTTCGAAACTACAGAATTTCTTCTCTCCTTCTTGCTCAATAAAAGGCCCATTGCCGGAAACAATTGCAAACCTCAAATCTCTATCGAAACTTGACCTTTCTTACAACCCCTTGAAGTCTCCTATCCCAAAATCCATCGGACAGCTACAAAATTTATCAATCCTAAACCTCGTTTACTCCGAACTCAATGGTTCAATACCTAGCGAGCTTGGAAACTGTAGTAATCTCAGAACATTGGTTCTTTCTTTCAATTCATTAACTGGGTCTTTGCCGGAAAACCTATCGCAGCTCCCAATGCTCTCGTTTTCTGCTGAAAACAACCAGATTTCCGGTGAGTTACCACCGTGGCTCGGCAAATGGGACCAAATAAACTCACTTTTGCTGTCGGGTAATCGGTTCTCCGGTCAGATACCACCGGAAATCGGTAATTGCTCACTGCTTAATTTTATTGGTTTAAGCAACAACTTGTTAACAGGTTCGATTCCCAAAGAAATATGCGACGCTGTTTCGTTAACAGAGATTGATCTCGAGAGTAATCTGCTTTCTGGTTCGATTCATGACACGTTTATAGCTTGTAGCAATTTGTCTCAGTTGTTGTTGTCGGATAACCAGATTATCGGGTCCATACCCGGTTACTTCTCGAAGCTTCCATTGATGGTTCTTGATCTTGATTCCAATAACTTAACCGGTTCAATTCCGGTGAGTTTATGGAACTCAATAAATCTGTTGGAGTTTTCTGCTTCAAATAACATGATAGAAGGAAATCTCCCAAGAGACATTGGGAAGTCTGTTATATTGGAAAGGTTGATTCTTAGCAACAATCGACTCACCGGAAATATCCCCAAAGAAATCGGAATACTTGATTCCCTTTCCGTTCTTAACCTGAAGTCCAATCAATTTACCGGTTCCATTCCTGTCGAACTTGGGAATTGTGTTTCTCTCACGACATTAGACCTCGGTGATAACAAACTCAACGGGTCAATTCCGGCGGAAATCTCCGGTTTACCGGAGTTGCAATGCTTGATTCTTTCAAACAACGATTTCTCCGGGTCAATTCCGTCGTCAAGAAAGTCAAAGTATTTCCGGCAAACCGGAATCCCGGATTCCAGTTACGTTCAGCACCATGGCCTCTACGATCTTTCCAACAATAAATTGACGGGTTCGATTCCGGATGAACTCGGGAATTGTTCGGTTTTGGTGGATCTTTTGCTCAAAGGCAACATGCTATCAGGGGAGATACCGGAATCTTTAGCCAACCTTACGAATCTCACCACCTTGGATTTATCCGGTAATCTGTTTTCCGGCGGGATTCCGGCGGAATTGGGTGGTGCTTTGAAGTTGCAAGGTTTGTATTTGGGGAATAATAATCTCTCCGGTGGGATACCGGAAAGTCTCGGTCAACTCAACAGCTTGGTCAAACTTAATCTGACTGGAAACAACCTTTCCGGGTCAATACCCGAAACGTTTAAAAACTTAAACGGGTTGACCCATTTGGATTTAAGCAATAATCTCCTCAATGGCAAACTTCCTTCCACTTTCATGGTGAATCTAGTTGGGTTTTTCGTGCAAGAAAACAGGATTTCAGGTTTTTTAAATGAGTTGTTTAATGATTCTGTTTCATGGCGGATTGAGATGATGAATCTGAGTAATAACTTGTTTACTGGTGAAATTCCTTCGTCTTTGGGGAATTTGTCGTTCCTGACATCATTGGATCTTCATCGGAATGGATTCACAGGGGAGATTCCGTCGGAATTAGGGAATTTAATGGAGCTAGAGTACTTAGATTTCTCAAACAACAAGTTTTCAGGACGAATACCCTACAAATTATGCAGTATCTCGAATTTAAACCTTGTGAATTTGGAGGGAAACGGATTAGAAGGTCCTGTTCCTCGGAATGGAATCTGTAGCAATACGTCAAGAATTTCATTATCGGGGAACAAAAATCTTTGCGGTGGAATCCTCGGAATGGAATGCCCCGTTGAAAAATTCCAAACAAAACCACAGTTTCCATACATCTGGGCTTTAATTTCAATCGTGATCGGAACTTTACTGATCATCATCGTCACTCTCTCAAAAATCTGGATGAACAGAATCAGGAAACGCGACAATTCCGAAGATGAAGAAACCGATGTCAGCAAATTAAACACCAGTTCACTCGATCAAAATCTCTATTTAATAACCAATAGCAAGTCAAAAGAGCCATTAAGCATCAACATAGCCATGTTTGAACAACCCCTTCTAAAACTAACCCTCGTCGACATTCTAGAAGCCACCAACAACTTCTGTAAATCAAACATCGTCGGCGACGGCGGATTCGGCACAGTCTACAAAGCAAAATTACCAGATGGAAAAATCGTCGCAGTCAAGAAACTAAACAAATCAAAAACCCAAGGACAACGAGAGTTCTTAGCTGAAATGGAAACAATCGGGAAAGTAAAACACCAAAATCTTGTCCCATTGTTAGGGTATTGTTCTTTCGGTGAAGAAAAGCTTCTCGTTTACGAATACATGGTGAACGGAAGTTTGGATCTATGGTTACGAAACCGAACCGGCGGTTTAGAAATCTTGAACTGGACCAAACGGTTCAAGATCGCAATCGGGTCAGCCCGTGGGTTAGCCTTTTTGCACCATGGATTCATCCCACATATCATTCATCGAGACATTAAAGCTAGTAACATTTTACTCAACGAAGATTTTGAACCTAAAGTTGCTGATTTTGGGCTTGCGAGGTTGATTAGCGCATGTGAGACTCACGTGAGCACTGATTTAGCCGGAACTTTTGGTTATATTCCGCCGGAATATGGTCAAAGCTGGAGGTCAACGACGAGGGGTGATGTTTATAGCTTCGGTGTGATTCTTCTTGAATTGGTCACCGGAAAAGAGCCCACTGGGCCTGAGTTTAAGGATATTGAAGGTGGGAATTTGGTGGGGTGGGTTTTGAAGAAGATGAAGAAAGGTCAGGTTGTTGATGTTCTTGATCCAACGGTTGTGAATGGTGCTTCGAAACAGGCGATGATCAAGACTGTTCAGATTGCTGCCATCTGTCTCTCGGAAAATCCAGCCAGTCGCCCTAGTATGCTTCATGTGTTTAAGTTCTTGAAAGCAATCAAAAATGACTTCTTGTGATGTTTTTTTTATACGAGGGTAGAATTGTAAAATCAGGAGTATGTTTTCTACGTTTACCAAGAAGATGAATCTTTTACTAATTTCTTGAATTTGAATCATTGAATGTGTTCTTCTTTTAACTTGTGTTTTGGAAGTTCTACATTTTTACCAATTGGATAAATACAAGAAACAGAAACATACTTTTATACCTTTCTGTTTTTATAACATTGTGTTTTCAAATTTTTTTTTTCTTTATTGTGAAAAAATCAATTTAAGTCTAGCATTAACATTACACCTTTAGAATTCGTATGATCGTATCCAATTATATCAGTTGAAATTAGTTTGTATTTTGATAATATTGTTTTAATTAGGGTAGCTTTCAAATTATAACGTTTTTATAAAAATATGAAAATAAGATATAATAAAAAAATTAATAAAAGTACGTTGCTATTCCTTGCATTTAACCTTTTATCTATTAGCAACTATTACAAGATATTGTTAAAGTTAAGTTAAATTATATACAATTAAGGTGTTGTTTGTTTTTTCTGAGACAAAATATCTGCAGTCTGCGAACCACATCTGTAGACCTCTGCAGTAGAAGAGGCGGACCAAACGTCTGCAGTCTGAAAAAAGAAGACTGTTTGTTTTTTTAACATCTGCGGGCTACAAAAATAAACCGATATCTAAATAAACTGATTTTTTTAAACTTCAAAGTGATTTTTTAATATTTTTATGACTTTGTTATAAATAATTAACGAATCTAGATCAACTTTTATGTATTATTGTATAAAAAATAAAAATAAAAATGGTATAAATTAACGTATATATTTGATAAAAACCAACAACTTTGGTGGTAAAGTTATAACTAAACATTATAATTAGTGATCAAAGAATTTGATACATAAATGAATGAAAATAAACTTTGATTTTTTCAATTAAATCTATTAAAAATGTACCATAAATATTTTTCTCTAGAAATTTATGATACTGTATTAAATAATGTTTTACAAAATTTAGCAAAAAATATAAGAATATATTATGATTTTTTTTTTCATATTTATATAAACAACTTCAACGACTATTATTGTAATAAATCTTTATTTATAAATTTGTCAAAAATATAATGTTTGTATCGTCGAACGTTTTTTTTTTAGTTTTGTAATTTTTTTTTTCAAATTGTTTATCATTAATAAAGTTGGAAAAAATATAAATTAAAAAAAACTTAAAAAAAATAAAGATATATATGTTTTTTTAGACTAGAAGATGTCTGAAGATGTTAGAAGACTCTGGTCCACATCTGCGCCAGGAAGAGGGCGCGCAGACATTTTTAGGTCTGCAGTCTTCAAAAAAACAAACAGTCTGCGAAGGCTAATGTCTGCGCGTGGTCTGCCCGGCGCAGACAGAAGAGGCCACGCAGATCTGCAGACAAAAAAACAAACACTACCTAAAAGCCAAGAACTATACGTGGCATAATGACAAAAATACCCTTGCGAGAACATTTACGACATATGATCCTAAAAGCAACATTAGTATTAGTATTGAGTTCGAAAAAGAAACAGCATAATCAACCAAAAAACACAAGTAACTATCACAATAATAGTAAAAAATTAATCAAAAATGGAAGAATTTTGTTAATAACACAAAACTCTACAATCAAAATCTGGCCAAATTATGGATCCACGTAATCTACAACAGTCGTAGACACGAAAATGAAAAAAGAACACCATTAAGAAACATACATAATCCCATTTCTATATAGGGCAAGATTAACTGAAACAAAAATACACCAAATGAAAACAACCCACCAGGCCATAAACAAACCCATTTCTTTGATCAAAGCAGAACCCGGGATCATGTTACACAAAGCTGGAAAGTGATCAAGAACATTATCATTGATTCGTGATAAACCAAGAAAGAGGAGAACAAAAGCAGGCTGCGAGAAGAATTGCAGAGCAGCAAGGCACAAATAGTGGTTATGGAGGAACACTTTGGCTCGACTGTAATCCAAATCAGGAAACTTACTTGCATGTAATCTTTGGTACCATGATAACACTGCTTCGTTCAAAAACATTTGCACATTCGCCCGAAATGTTAGCATTTGTAAAACTCCAGTTGCTAGCATACACCATAGCCGGAAGTTGTTGAAATCGGATCTTGACATACCCACATTGCCGACTAAACGATCTTTGTGTTGAATGTTGGGTGAATGATTTGATTGTGATCGTTTGTTTGTGTCGATGTTTTTGTTAACAAGGAGATCGGAAAAGGGGTTAATCCAAAGCAATGAAGTGAAGATCGCTAATAAGTAGGTGATGTGAAGTAGTGTTCTTCCAAACCATCCGCAGTGAATCATCGATAAATTACAGCGAATCTGATCGGTTCCAAGCCAGTAGGCGCGAGCGGTTTTAGTTGCCGGAACGTATAACAGTCCGGCGAGGGAGCCCATGAATACGGCGGTGCAAAATTTCCCATACCCATCGAGAGATTCAAACGGAAAATCGAAAACCCAATTGGGAAAAACTTGGAGGACGATGAGGAAGGCGATTACAGTCGCGGAAAACCCGATGAAAACACTCAATTGTTTTTCAGAACTCTTGGATGCAGATCGCTCGAAAGAAACCCTAGCAATCGTGACGAATACTCTAACAAGCCCTAAAAGCCCTAACAGGATTGGAATCAATGTACCATTTGGCAGAACCCCGGAGGAATCTTTTGATGAAGGTAAAAAGTTATGAAGCAACAAGCAAGAAGATGCGACGATGGTGAAATTGAAAACCCCACGAAACTGATCGAAATACAGTCTTGATTGGAGGTGATTGTGATTGAGTTTGAGTCTAAAGATCTGAGCCTTGTTTTCATCAAATTCAAACTTGTTGGATTTCTTCCTGGGTTTCAATTCACCAGTAGTGGCGTCACCCGGCCTTCGGATTGCGGCTTTGATACCGGAGGAGTTGGGGTTTGGGGGTGCGACGTCATCAGGGTGGATGTAAGTGTGGAGGCCATGAAGGAAGAAGGATGGGATCTTGATGAAGGAGAAGAGGAGAGTGAGGAAGAGAGAAAGAGCTGCGTGGATTATGAGGTTATTGTTGCTCGATGTGAAGAATAATGACATTGTTTCTCTGAAGATATTCAAAGAACAGAGCTGATTTTGAGCATAAGAAGAGATCTCAAGACTGAAATCAGTCTGTGTTCTATTCAATTTTGTATCTTTTTGGTGTTAAACTGTTTATTCCACCATTTCCTTTCTAAATTGGGCTTGTTATGATCATGTTTCGGAATGCCCAACCCAAATACTTTTCTCCTTCATATAAGCCTGTAACCTTTAGCCCATATGACTGTTTTTTTTAGGAAAGTTGTAGGGTTTGATAAGTACAAATAATGCAAATAATTTACAATCGAAAATGAAATGAAAGTATATACACCAAATAACCAAGGTTTCAATCTTTACACTATTATGTTGTGACATGTGTTGTATAACTCTAATATCCCCCCTTAAGTCAAGAGGTGATGAGCCAATACAATGCTTGGCATGAGAATATTCAAACAAGGGAAACATAAGTTTTTTTTTATTGAGGCATGATATGTCCTATAATGATGTGTGATAGCTAGGTTATAATATTCTTTTTATGTAAAATAAAATTTTATTTTCTTCTATAAATAGAGAAGAAAACGGGTCATTATAGTGTTTAGCTTTATAATTAAAACATGTTGTAGAAGAAGCGTTAGAAATGAATAAATTAGGTAAATTAGTGTTGACTTGGTAGTTGACCAACGTAGTTAGCTCGGGACTAATTATGCCATAAAATGTGACGGGGACTAAATGAGTAAATTTAAGATGACTAGTTTTTTTCACTTAAAATGGTGATCGTAATGTGAACTTAAGAAGATTAAGAGTTAAATGTGTAATTAGGGCATATATTAGAGAGAGGGAGAGAGAGTGAGATAGAGAGAGAGAGAGAGAGTTGGAAGTCTTCTCTCCTATCCCGGAAGCATCAATCGATCTAGATAGTTTGTGTGAGGAGAAATGGCGATTTCATGAGATCAAATGAGTTAGAGATAAAATCAAGGTGCATTTGGAGGAATTGAAGTTAGGTTTACATCATTGAAGCTTTAGAGGTATAAAATCTTATGTATCTCTTATCAAAGATTGATCCAGGGCTTGGATTCCAATCCAAATCCAAAAATTATGTAGATTTAGGAATTTTAAATCAATGATATAAGTTCTATATACTATTTAGTTTATGAATCCGAGCTCCGATCTCCACTATATTGGTTGATTTGGATTGATGGACCTTGTGGACTCCTAAACCCTAATTTGGGAGAAAAAAATTGAATTTGATGATTATTAAGTTTTGTGTATGTTTTAATGCTAGAAAACTTGTAATGTATCACCAAGTAATCACCATTTCACAATTGAAGTGCTTGATTTCATCAATAATATGTAATTAGGTATACAAAACCTTAGTTGGTGAAGAGTTATAATCTAGCTATTACATAAACGTAATGTTATGAATTTTAAAATAAATTAATGATTATATGGTTAAAAAACAAGTAATTAGTTGAAATCATGATTGGGATTGGGTTGTTATATGATTCCAATAGACATTTTAGATATTAAATATATTAAATATTTAAATTTTATACGTTACTAAAACACATCAAAACACCAAGATGAAGAGTCTTTGCTAAAAATAATCTTCGGTTACTTTTACAACAAAAATTCTCACTCAAATCCTATAAAAGAAATCTAACCTATGTATGAACTCAAACATAATCTCTATTCTAATAAAAGAATAGGTTTCATATCCTTCTCCCATGTGTCAAAGTATTACACATTCTCATTAATTTCATATGACACGTGTCACTTTTGTGGTTCCTCTTTTTGAATTGGATTTTCCCACATTAAATAAGTTTCCGAAAAAATAGAATTGCTTCATTTCCTTTTTTGGGCCTTAGTATGTCATGGCTATAAATACATATTTAATTTAATTTAATTACTTCAATTAAAACATTACAATTAT